GCTGAGGGAACTGGGGTTGTTTAGCCTGGAGAAGAGGAGGCTGAGGGGAGACCTGATCGCCCTCTACAACTCCCTGAAAGGAGGCTGTAGTGAGGTGGGGGTCGGCCTCTTCTCCCTGGTAGCAGATGATAGGACAAGGGGATATGGTTTGAAGTAGCGCCAGGGCAGGTTTAGGCTAGACATTAGGAAAAACTTCCTCACCGAAAGGGTTGTCAAGCTCTGGAATGGGCTGCCCAGGGACGTGGTCAAGTCCTCATCCCTGGAGATATTTAAAAGAAGGATAGATGAGGTGCTTAGGGCCACGGTTTAGTGGTGGGATGGCAGGGTTAGGTTAAAGGTTGGACTCAATGATCTTAAGGGTCTTTTCCAACCAAAGTGATTCTATGATTCTCGAAGAACTGTTTGCAGTAACTTTGTCACTTTAAGATGCAATATCCCCAAATTGCTGAATTGTTACCAGATACGGATCTATGCTGTGTAGAAGGCACAATTCCTTATGTTTTGGATGAAATATCTGGCACAAACCAAGGTACTTCCCTTCATTTGTCCTTTGTGCCTTTCTTTACAGAGGCTATTTCTGCAGTTCATTTCTTGCATGGCACTTCAAGGAACTAATGTATTTTAGAGTTTTGTAATAAGAAAAGCACTTCCTGCTCTGATTTCATTCCTCATCTCAATCATTCATTTCTCTCTTACCTGTTTACAAAAGGCTACTGTTGTGTTGACTGCTTTTTTTTTTCCTTAAGTGAAGGTGAGAACTAATTTGATAAAAATCAAATGAGAGATTGTGGTGCCATTATTTCCTAATGCTGTGGAGCTTAATTATATGGATTTGCGGAACATGATTTCTGTATTTTTATTAATGTGAAAACAAAACACTTTCTTCTATTTTGATGAATATCTGTTGTTTCCTTTGTATATACCAAATTGTACGTAGAGCATCGTATATTTCTTTCTATAAAATCATGAATGAACTTCAGTGAACCAAACTGACATTTTGATTTCTAAAAGCTAAAGCTTAAAATAACTGACAGAAGATGTCTTTGGTAATGGGCATAGGATGCCTTCCTATAACACAATTAAAACTTTTCTTCAGCTGTCCTAGAAGTCTTAAAACCCTTTAAAGGTAAAGGAACTAATACACTTGCTGGGTATTTTTTTCCCACTATGGACAGCTTTTGGAGATGTTTTCAGTTCATAAAGGGGCTCTCACGACATTTGAAAGTGG